AAGATTTTCACATTAGCGCTATGAAAGTTGAGAGTGCGAAAGTCTCTAAGAGACGTCTGTTTCCGGAAACACTGGAGCTGATGCGCCAATGTGGCATTGGACAAGCCACAGGTACTCACGTCCGAACTAGCAAAACAATGCAGACAGACGATAAAAGAAGACCTTAAAGGGAGAAGAGCAGCAGTTACGGTCGAAGCTGCAGAAGTTGCGAAAAGCATTTTTAAAGCCTACCGAAGCTTCGCCACTTACCAAACCAAGATGATTGCTAACCGCCACCTAAGACGGAATAGTTATAATTTCCAGAAAGGCAGTGGAGGAAATAATTCACGAACACTACTCAGATTTTTTCAGTAGCCACGTCGTCCTTTTCTCATATGAAATAAAGGAAAGTGGATATGTCTTACCACCGGATTTCTCTTTCGAAATACGATATGTTATTTCGTCGGTGAAAAGTCGAACAGCACCAGGTTTGAACAGGAAAAGACCTGAACACGAGAAAAACCTCCCGTGCGTGTTCGTAAACACACTGACTCTGCTCTTCACAAGTTACCTGCCTGAATGCAAGGCCTCTACTCAGTGGAAGACCAACAAGACCTTGGTGCTGTTGTTCAAGAAAGGTGGCCTCCACGATATCGGCAACTATGCCCAATCTGTCTGCCGTCTACAAACTCTCCACTCGAGTCATCCTTAACAAGATTGACTGAACACTGGTCAAAGAGCAGCCGTGTAGGCAAGCAAGGTTTCGAAAAAAATTTAGGACGATGGACCACATCCATGCGATAGCAAAACTCATTGAAGTATCGAGAGAGTACGAAAGACCGCTCTGCCTCGCTTCCATCGATTTAAAGAAAATCTTTGACTAAATTGAGATAGAAGCAGTCATGGAAGCCCTTGATAGTCAAGGAGTCCTTATTCAGTACATAAAGGTTCTTTGTGAGTTGTACAAAAATTTCACAACCAAGATATCATTATTCTAAAACGATATTGACATCGACATCTAAAGAGGGATTAGGCAAGGCGATACTATCGCCCCAAAATTATTTCCCAGCACTCCCCAGAACGTCATACAAACACTGGAATGGGACAACATAAAAGTGAAAATCGATGGTCGGCATTTACACTATCTTCGGTTTGGTGATGATATCATCCTTATAACGCCAAACATTAGCCAAGTGGTACCAATGCTTTCCGACTTTGCTAATAGCTATGGATAAGCTGGTCTTCGAATAAATCTCACAAAATCGAATTTTATGAGAAACGGATTGGTTACGTATCGCCATTCGTGCTCAACGGAACTAATACCTCCGAATGGTTCAGTTATGTATATCTAGATCGGGAAAGCAACATGGTAAACGACTAGGTCCGGAGTTAAGTAGAAGAAAACAAGGGACTTGGAGAGTTTTCGAGGGTATCGAGAATGTAGTGAAGAAAGCAAAGAGCACCAGAACTCGTTCCCACCTTTTCGAGTCCACGATCACTCCTGCCTTAACGCATGAGTTGGAAATCCGGTCGATGCGTAAGCATGATCACTGGTGACTCAGCGCTATTCAACGTACAGTCGAATGGAGGATGCTAGACGTATTCCGTGTCATGCGACTTAGGAGGGATCCAAAGCTCCGACCAACTTCAGCGATGGAGGATTAAAGGTACCGTTCTGTAGGCCAAACAGTCCAAGATAGGCGGGGCCAGGCACATAATGCGTATGAACAGCAACTGATGGACAGGAGAGGTTAGTGATTGGATTCCTCGGGATGTCAAACGGACTGCAGGAAGAGCACCGACCCGATGGTCAGAGTTCTTCACAAAGAGCCTAGAGGAAAGACATGATGCTCAACGTGTTCCAAGAGCGAGCAGTGCCTACCGGGCTACTCTTGCATGGAACAGTGAAAAATGGAAGATTTACTGGTGCCTGCTTGAGTTTTTCGAAGATCAACGGGACTATAGGTGATACCTGTGACTCTGCATAAAAGGGGAAGACGCCTGCAACGTATCGCTGCCCATTCATCTCATGTATAACTGTTTTCACACTACGGTGGATAAACACCAAGGTAGAACTTTGTTAAAAAGTCATTAAAGCTAACTGAATGCATATGTGGCCTGCACATTGACTTGAGGTAGCCTGGAAATGCATTGAGCTAGTGCTGCTATTCTCTCCCGCGAATCTGGTTCCAGTTTTCGGGCTCTGAAGGGATGGAAGTGTGTATTGCAAAACACCTCTAACCAATGCACTGCATGTTTCCTTTTCTTTCACATTCTGTTGAAACAGACCTATCGCTACATTAAATGGCTAACTGAGGAAAGACTTGTACATCAATTTGCGGTATGCTGATGTCTTCCTTCGCCCAGCACATCCTACATAGGCCTCATTTCTAGGACTAAACCACACTTCCACATATGAAAAAATCGTTAACGGTATACAAAAACCCTGTCCATTAAAATTCCTGGGTAGCCAGTATTTCAACACAATTTGAACAGCTTGAGACCTCCTTCGTAGGTCCAGCTGGTAAATTTCGACTCTAGCGCCACAACGCACAAGGACTTCGTCGGCATACACGTGTTTTTGATTCCTGTTATTCCGCTGTCATTGCTACCATCTAGCCGGTTTGGCGGTGTAGTTTGTGCAAGCTGACTGTTCGGTCCTACACTGCGTGGTGTGAGACATTATTGTTAGTAGTGTTATACCCTTTTATTTTCTGCCTACTATAATTTCGTGATTGCTGTGGCAAAAAACGATAGAAACAGCTGAGAGACAGGCGAAACAAAGGACCCGCATGGTGTGGTGGTGAACGCGTTACTCCCCGGAGAGGACAATAGCGCGTTCGTTCCCCACCATAGACACCTGCGGTCCAGAGTTTAGCAAATATCTCAGCAATGTTGTGATTGTTAGCAGTATTCTTTCAAATTTATCTCTTACTATGATGTGGGATGCAACACGATAACAAAACAAGGGTGAAGCTGCAAGATTGGAATTCACACTTTAATCTTTCATCTGTAGCAATCTAATAATTCGTATTTTACGGCAGAGACCGATCAATCTTATTATCTCGTGAAGACGTGTGCGTTTTAAAACACGTCCTTCTTTATTCCGTATCATTTCGTCTCGTCCATAATCAGCTCCCAGAAGCTGGTTATAAATGAACGAAATTTATAAGTTCTGTCCACCGAAGAAGAAATTATCAAGCGACATCAGATTGAATAAAAGCGAAGATCTACCACTTGCGTGACAACACAATATTACAGTACTCAACGTTTACGTCGTCATACGAACCCTTGGAAGATGGGATAAACTATTTTTCTTCAAATCTCCAACCATGCGAAAAGTTTTCTCTAGAAGTCTTTTTAAGCTGATAGCTTCTCAATCCCTGTTCGTATTTTTTTTTTGAGCAAACGCGAGGTGTTATTGTTCTTTGTTCACGATTAAGCTGACGTTTCGGCGAATTTCGCCTTCTTCAGAGCCGCTTTCTATGAGGTCTCCACTAAGTATGTCACGTAGAGACCAACCGCACAGAAATCACGTGGAAGTATAATGTGACACAGTATAATGTGTTGACACATTATACTTCCACGTGATTTCTGTGCGGTTGGTCTCTACGTGACATACTTAGTGGAGACCTCATAGAAAGCGGCTCTGAAGAAGGCGAAATTCGCCGAAACGTCAGCTTAATCGTGAACAAAGAACAATAACACCTCGCGTTTGCTCAAAAAAAAAATACGAACAAAATCACTTGATCAATGCCGAGGTTAATAGAAAGTCGGTCGTGGCAGTTACTGCAGGATGTCTCAATCCCTGTGTTTATTGAAAAACCACATCTGTTTATCAAAAAACCAACAGCACCGTCTTATGGAGCAGCCACCCAAACTTAAGCGCGGAGGGTTACGTGTTAAAGTGGAACAACTAGATTATTAGATCTTTCCGAAATTAATGTTCAGTTTCTTTTATTCTTTGAAGTTGGATAACCTAGCTAAAAACAAACTTTATTGATCGAAATAAAAGCTACTGGACTCCACAACATTTTGTCTAGGTGAAATAAGTTTACCTTTCCCGTTTCCGTAAAACTCTGGAATGCTGTAGGCGACGAAGCCGCTTAAGACAGTTTCGGCAATGGTTACGTTTCTAAAGCATTTTTCCCACAGGAGCTTGTCGACGTGATTAGAGGAATGGTAGTTGGTAGACAAGAGGTCATATAAAAACAGTGGATGAAGCAGAGCTTCGTAGCGTTGCTGGTTCAACTTTGCAGCGGCAGTAGCACGAAAAGTGGCCGCATATTAATAGCATGATCCAGTGGTGCCACGTAGTGCCAATCTGTACGGCGTCTATTTGTGGATTCTTTCAAAGTTTATTTAGATTTTTTGAAATGGTTGTGATGTTTACATCAATTTCTTTCGCGATTTCTCGAAGTGTTGAGCGTTCTGTCGCTTACAAAGAAGCCTTCATCGTTAGTAGCAAAAGCACGTCTACAACCTTCCTCTCCTCCAAAGGCGATTTCGTCAAGACGAAATTTTTCGAAGTAACGCCACTGTCTCTATTCGATAACACTTCCTTCGCTCCATAGCTTGCCAGGGTTTTGAGTCTCGTGCGATCCACACGATTGAATGTGAACTTTTAAAAGTCAGTTTGATTGCTTCTGTCTTTCGACACCTTAAGTTCTAAAGTGTAAAACTTGTCAAAATTAGAGTATATGTTGTTATGAGAAAGTGCATAAAATACCTTTGCAATAAAATATAATGGTACAGCAATAGAAAGAAAATTGGAACGTATGCAAGGAAAATGAAATTGCAAATCAGGCATCAATTCCGGAAAGATCTAGTAACTTAACCCCTTTATAAGTTACACAAGACTCATGGAGCTACCATTGTTTAGATAAATGAAAACATCGGCTGCGAACTGTTTCAATAATATTTTTTACCTTTCTTGAGCGAGAATAAACAAAAACTCTCTATCTTTTCACATCGTTGTTCTGTACAATCATAATGGCATCGGTTGTGAAAGAAAGGTATAGCTACTGAATGCTCACTTTACTCGCATGCCCAGGATTTTGTGTGCGCCAAAGACGTCTCAACATTCGCCAATACAATAGTGCTGATATTCCGAGCGGTAGTATGTATCCGAATACATTAAATGTGATGAAGTACGTCCTTGCCTAAATGAAGAGTCTCTATCAAGCCAAACCTTTAATTAATCAAAAAGTCTTAATTACAAATTATATTTTTCAAAGCTGAATTTTCACTGAAGTAGTGAGAACGAAACATGGTTCAGTTTAATCACCATGGATTAACGTGAACGACGAAAATATCGTCAACCGGTTGCTCTCACTTAAAAATTTCCAACCAAGCAATAAGTAGACAGATGTTGTGCACGATTTTATCTCTCGAAACTTTTTATATTACACAATCACATTTGTTTATACTTAAATTACATTTTCTTGAATAGTTGAGAAATCGATTTACTGTTTGAGAGCACTAGTCAAGCACAAGACCTTGATGTAGTGCGATATTAGAAAATAGTAGTTCACTTGCATTACTAGTGAGGAAGTGGTTCTGTTTCTTAATAAATAAATCTATCTTCCTTTTTTAAGTCTGGACATGACCCATCATTAATTCTGCATGAATAGCTGTCATTTCCCTCTGTTCTCTCACTAACAACATTTTCAATATCGACAATCATTTAACCTCACCATGGATAACCAGGTCATCGTTTATTGGTAAGCTAAGACGAGCTTGTTACAAGACTTTTTTATTGCGGGCGAAGTGTCTACTCCAGTCATTCCTTCAGAGCGGAAATCATTTAAGTTGAATATCCACAACAGTTTCTTGTTGCGATGTGCTAGCTTCATAGTAACATCGATTCGAATCATGGAAAGTGTTATTCATGAATCTGTTTCCATGGTGATAATTTATCAAATACCAATCGGAATAAGATTAGCTGTCACATAGGAAAGCAATATTTTCTATGAAGACTCACACTGGTAGAAGAAGCTGCTGTGAACGCCTTGATCTAAACACTGTACCTCAGAAGCAGATAACAGAGACGAAACATTAGTCACAATAAGGTTTATAACAATCGCCAACAACAGTTCCTTGGTACACACTTTCACTGCCACAAACATGCTCTGTTCCAAAATACTCAAAAAGACGAAAGTTTGGATGATATCAATCAACTAGTTAATTTCGAAGTTGCAAATGTAAAAGAAACGACTAAGTGGTAGACTAGCTGTTCACCGACTTTGTACAACACTCACAAACTGCCTTTGTCTTAAAACTTCACAGAACTTCGTCGCCTTTATATTTCTTACCATGTTTCATGGACAATATTAATTATCTTTACTCCTTTGCCTCAACATATTCAGCACCACTAACTAATTTTGTCCTAACTAAGTAGCGTCGCATAATTTATGTCGGCAATCAGCATTGTTGTTCTACAGTCATTTACTTTCACGGTCAAACTAATCATGAATTGGTAAAGGATTTCATAACTGGACAATGTGAGGTGTCTATAATGCAGGTTACGTCACAAAACACTCAAATTTGCTGTGTGATACAAGTAGTTATATACGAATTGAAAACTTGGGATTTCCAATGTTTTAATTTTTGTTTCCGGGGCCGAGAAAAAGGCAAAGCAAGGGGCTCGACTAGTGCGGTGGGTAGCACGTAAGCCCACGGTTGAAGATAACTGGCAGTTCGAAGGTCAGCGGAGGTTTCGGGTTTTGCACATAACTCGCCATTCTGTGGTTGTGCAAGAAATGTTTAGCCATATTCCCTAAGCATAGCACAGATCGTGTTTACAGTAGCATGTATAATGCTGTCCTTTGCACAATCACCACTTTTCCCCAAGTGCAAGAATTAACTATGGTGTCAAATTATTATATAACAGGCACAGTTGCCTATATTGGAATCTTGATGCTATCAACTGAGACTTCTCTAATAAACCAGACTCCAGAGTACCTTCTGTGTTCCATCGGATCAAGTGTAGAATTTTTTCGTGTACTACCCTAATTTTGGAGATGAAACTTATTTTAGCTTATTATTCACTGCCTAGTCTTTTTTAATGGCAGGGTATATTGCGAAATATAACTTCAATAATTCTGAGATATTTGCGATAGAACTAGCTGAGAGACAGGCGAAACGAAGGACTCGCATTGTGTGGTGGTGAACGCGTTACTCCCCGGAAAGGACAACAGCGCGTTCGTTCCCCACCGCTTACACCTGCGGTTCGGAGTTTTGCAAATATCATAGCATCATTGAAGAAACTGATTGTTAAGCTGTATTTAGTTGATGCTTCCTTTAATCAATAATGACGGAGTTGTGCATTTTTCGAATTCACTTCAATTTGGTTGATTAGTGAAATGTGGCATGGAAGGACGACATTTATGCCGTCAGAGAGCAATGGGCATCGCCAACCCCTTCATCACTTTCTTTCTTTGTTGTTATTCAAAATTTCTTATGATGTTTTCAAGATTGAGAGACCTGAATAATAAACCTATCGTCTTCGACTTCATAAAAGGCAGCGAACGCAAAGAAATTGTCATGTCAAGTACAATAAACACGTTATGTAAACCTAATCATTATAGCGGAGAACATAATACGCAGTGAAAGTGAGTACCGCATTGGGCCAGGAGGCAAGCTTCTCATCTCTCGGGAGTCCGAGAGCTAGTACGGGAGTTGTCTGAGAATCTGTGTCAGCTTCATAGCACCTGGTACACAACGATGTTCATGAAGAAGAGCAAAAATCTTTGAGCAGCAGACCGAAAAGATAATTCTAGGATCTGCGTGGATGGCGGATGCGAGAAAAGCAATCGAATCAAAGATTTACAAGGGTCATCGCAATACATGTGAAAGCTGGTCCAGTTAAAAAGAAATCGTTGTAGCAAAATATTGATTAATTGTGAATGCCCATTAACTTCGAAAGTCAAATGCTCACCGCTCCTCTTTCTTATCCTTTTTAGGCTAAACCGAATGGCGGTGATAAAGTTGCAAAATCCTTTCTTTCTGGTCATACTTCCGAGGTGAAGTAACTCATCTGTGTGGAAATATCTAGATGGGAAATGCAAGCTAATTAAGGGAGATTTCTTTCCAAATTGCAAGAGTTCTCCATCTAAATGCCACCCTTTCCATTGCATTAAGAAAAAACTATAAACGTTCGAACTAGAATTCATTCGGTGATGAACAGTTCTCCAAATCTATTGCTATTCAATTGAATTCGTTTTGATTAAACCCACGCTTCCATAGTTAGCCAATGCAGAGTGATCACCACTACATGTGCTTTGGCTAAGAGAAGCAGCTCAGTGAATGCTTTAGTAATTGAGCTTTTAAAACAATTTTCCATTCTTTCAATCCTTCTGGTTGTTCCTTGAGATCAGTAACTCACCGATTATCAGGACGATACAAGCTAGAGCTATGTGTGTCGTTTGAAGTTTAACTGCCCTAGGCAACTATTAACGCTTATGCAGTTATTGTAGCGCCACAATTTCAATGGATTAAAAAGCATATTTTGATTTGACGTACTAATTCAAACTAAAGTCGGTTGTTGAAATATTTTTACGCTTTGTGCTAGACGATCATGATACCCAATGCAGCGGAATGGATCACTGGGAGAAAAACAGGCCATTATTGACGAACAATCAGCATCAACAACCGTTCTGCACAAAAGAACACTGTCTAGTGAGGTTGCTTCATTCGAGCGGTGTTTGAATGGATTTGACTCTTAGGCGACCACGAAGACACATATCGGAAGAAGGAACTGTAGACAATCTCGGATCAATCCGTCTCTGAAGAAGGAGAAGGCGCCAAAGCCTTAGTAGAAAAAGGTTTATTGCCAACCTTGTGTTAGCTTACCAACGGGTCAAAAAACCTTTGTTGATTGACCACGCCGAATTGAATGAACAGTCGATTTTTGAAATACAATAATTTCGATTCTGGCGCTCATTGTACCTCGGTATGGATAATCAAAGTCTTAGTTTATTGACAACCCTAGAAGAGATTGTTACAAATTTCTATTGCGACCAACGTGTCGGCGGTGTCGGCTTCGTCACAGCCACATTGATTTGAGTCTAACATGCGAACTAGTTGATTCTTCTTGTCATGTGGGGCATCATAATCGTCGGTATCGACTCGAATCGAATATACTGGAGCATGGGACGAGTAAATAGCATCACCGTGCACTGCTCTTTAACATATTTGCTCCATTGCAATGAGCTAACCTCACCCAGTTGTTTCCCATACTCTGAAAGAGGCGGTAGCGATGAAACGTTAGACACATAAAAGATTTGTAACAACCTCGCGCAACTGAAACCACACACAGTAACACTTTTTAATTTGAATTTAAAAGACCTCGATAATAAACAGTTGCTGTCTGAAAGCGATTTTAAGTATTTGAACGACTAAAGACATTAAACTTTTCCACCCAGCTTCTGCAAGTGTTCCAAGACCAAAAGTTCTCTGGTTCATTCTTACTCATTATCGGAAAAGTTACAAGTAATTCACCTTGAATTTCTCCAGTATTGCTAACTATATTTAAAAAATATATAGTATAATTTTAAGGTTACCCATGATGTTTAATCTGAACTCGTTTAACCGGCAACTCACAAAGGTAAGCGTAGCTGTGCTTGTCGCTATGCTCACAATAGCACACGTTGAACGGACTTCAGTGAAAAAGTCATATGCATAAATGCCATGCATCAGTCCAATTGGGACCTGTAATAAGAGAAAAATCGTGTGCGTCGCTTCAATTCATGGTGGAGGTTTTAGCGTCCAGATATTGACGAAATTGCCGGCTCTTAGCTACCCTAATAGCGAAGATGTGCTAGAGATTGCGTCCTATTTCTACGACTTACTATGACAAAACCGTTGGATACAGGTGAACTGTTTGTGACAAAGCAGCGAGTACAGCTTTGTCTTTAAAGGCTCCCACCAGTAGTATAGATAATAACCGCATTTAGCCGAGGAACTTCCCATCAAACACTAAGTCGATATCACGAGATTAGCTACGAAAATTTGCAAATAGAAATAATCATAACCCCGTTATTTTGCCTGTCCGGTAATATTTTATCCTGCAATTTTGTTCACAGACTGACTTGTTCTGACTTTACTGCAAACGTTGCCTACACAGGATAACATGTGTTCAAAATGCTAGCAGCATCTGAGGTTTGCTACATAGCTCGCCTGAGTTGCTGCTGTGACAGCGAAGACGACAGCAAGCGCGATAACAGCGTTCTTGGGAGATCGAAGGGTTAGCGAATCGACGGGATATACAACAGCTAAATATCGATCCAACGCCATCAACATTAACGTCCAGACGGAACAATACGCTGATGCGTGCTAGAAATGAATTCTGTACAAAATAAGAACCAAGAAGAAAGACAGAAGTAAAAGTAAAACAAAAACACTTGCGATGGTGCCACTTCCTAGTCGCTCTTTGACAAGGGTTGCTTCTCTAATTCCATTCTGATTTCCACTCAGTTTATCAACACATTTCTGGACTTGTGTATCAATCATTGCAGAGGTGATCACACGACTTGCGTCGGTCCACCATCAAGTAGCTGGTATTTATCCACCCAGAGAATTTTGTTAGCAACCTGTCAACCTTAGAGCGACAGCAAACGTGCTTAACCATGACTGAGGATTGAACTCGGGACCGACTGTGTATTGCAGAGAACCTTTAGTTGTTGCGCTACATACATCCTGGTTTAACTGTAGGTATTTTAAATCTGCTGATTAAAATTACAATGGAAAACAAGAAAAAACAAGAGAAAACTAACCTGGAAAAAATTAATCATAATGCACGTCCATTCTGGAAATATCCAAACACTTAATGCATAGTCAACGGCGGTGAATGGCACGCAAAGTAGAAGGAACATAAGGTCCGAAATTGCTAACCCTTAATACACAGCAGTATACATATATATACACATATATATATACACATATATACATATTTATGCTTATATATACATATATATATACGGAAAGATATATAGTTCAAGAAATAAACGAAATATTTTACTAGTTCCCATTTGTAAATAGCAAAAATCTCTAGTCAATCTAGTGAAAACGTTGGTGAAATCGTCTTGGGAAAATGTCTATTTGATAGTATACCAAAATACAGCATACCATCAAATCGATTTCGTATATCACGGAATCGGAACAAAATGGTTAGCACAACACTTGGCTATGAATAGGGATTTCTATTCTCAGTAAGTAAACAACAGCCTTGCTGAAGACTGGAGCCTTAATATCCAACCATGATTCTCTTCAAGTGATTTTTTCGCGAGATTTAAGTAAATACCATTATTAATGGGACCAAGTATATGGTTTCGATGACTATAGTTTATGGATTATGAAATATGACGTGTATTCTACGACGACATGGCTGTTGTTTACGCTATTAGCACGTTTGGAAAGCACTTCGATTTGAGACAAACCACTAGCCTTCTCGATGAACTTAAAGTAGCTTTAACTGATGTCATAAAAGGAACCATAGGTCCGTGAACGGTTCTACCTATTCGTCGGCATTTACTTTTGTTGTTCTTGTCATATAATATCCTCCGAGGCAATTTCGCTGCGTTCTTTTAAATTTTAACACTCTCACGAAGCACAAATTTTCTGTGAACTTGGATCGTTGACGTTGATCGGAAAATCAGTTTCTCCACCTCACTTCCGTGACAAGCGATATTCCTAGCATCAACATTTCAGTTACGCTACCGATCACTATAAGTGTTCTTCTATACTGCTGCGTAGCATCCATGTTTCTTAACCGCCCATCAAGGCATTGAAACCTGATTAGCCGAAGTGATAGGCAGGCAACCAGAAGCTTCCTACTCGCTTCTCTACTCCCATATGTTGGTTTGAGCGCTGCATCTCGGCAGTTGCTCCATATAATAAATACTTTTTGTTGCAGGAACAGTGAGTGAAGTAAGTTAGCTTGTGACGTCTAATCACTTGTCAACCTTCTTCGCTTTTTGCAGGACACCATCTAGAAAATATTTATGACGAGATGATATCACCAAGTGAAACCTTCCTCACCGATGACACTGTCGTTAAAGACTGGTGGAATATTGGTTTCAAGTTTTTTGTGAGCGATCTTCTTTTGTTGACTGAAGACACCGTTGTTACCCTGTGTGTCATTTTTTGCTTTTTTCTTGGCAAAATCGGAGAATTACAGTTCGGTGGACGCTACACATAACGGCACCTGGAACTCTGGCAACATTGCAGCCTATTTTCATATAATTCTCGCCTAGCCATTTGGAAGCTCCTTTTCGTCTATGACAATAATGAGAATGCCTTGAGGGGAGCTCGTAGGAGAACGACATCAGACCGGCTTTACGATATTTGGCTATATCGTGTGCGTGTGTCTTCTTGCGCAAAAGGACCTGAATTCTTTGCCTTACACTATATAGGAAAATTCCAAAGATAGTGTGGAAAACACTGCGAGAGTGTGATTGAGGACTGGAGGAAGGCACTAGGTTTCTTCGCATTCGAACCTGGTTTTTTTGGATTCGATAGATCCGGATTCACGTTTCCCTTCGGATATCTAAATTTTTCTAAGGTTGTAGAAATTCAATTCACTGCTCTTTCAATTTCTCTAGAATGTGTCTTGTTGCTCCTTCAATTTCTCTAGAAGGTGTCTGGAGCAGCACTGAAATTGGAATGTCAATGTTAAAAAAGACCAAAGGATTAGTTTGACAGCTAAGCAAAGTGTGGATTAGATGTCTTAAATTTACCCGAGTCGAAAAGTGTTGTAGGCAGGGCATTGAATTGCTTTGCTTTTCGAATTTCACCACTTGGTATATTTTTCAGCTACTAAATAATTAACAAGTGTAAGCAAACTTGCCAATTATGAGGGTGTTGGTAGAATTCCGCATAGAACGGCTTAGCGCCACCACGACGACAAGAAAATTTCCAACGACACCAATGACGATGATCAGAGCGAAAATAAAAGCAATGATAATACCGATTTTTCTTTCAAACTCTATTGCTTCGTTGTAAAGAGCCATCCACTGCTCAAACGTCAGCACATTGCTACTAATGTTCGAATCGCTTCCGTCATTCATTTCTGCTTTAAACTCTAAAAGAAAGTTGAAATCAAAAATGCACCTCTCAAAAACACGACTTCGTTCAAATCAGAATTTGCCAATAAGTTCACTATTCTGTCCTCTCGGTAAAAAAATGTTTTGCATCGGTAAACAATGGCTTCCTTTGAGCAATAATTCAGTTTTAAGGAAAGACTAAACTGTTGCCGAAAGCAAGCTAATTGCTGTTCGCTCCAAGCTTAATAAAACACATATAAGCGCGAATTACGACAAAAAAAACAGAGCCAAGGAAAATCACAGCGCTTTAGAAGCTGAGAAAAACGCAGAAAAGAAATGAGTGCGAGAAGTCCTGGGTCCTTATTTTGACTTTCTATGGCTTAGTAAAAAAAGGAGTAATGCAGGTGATAAAAACATTTATAAAGTAGGAGCGATACAAGTGTTGACAATATTTAAAAAAATTGTGTAGCGGTTGTCTATAATTTCAGTCGAAACTACTTTCTTAAGAAGTGGAGGTCTCTTTATAAAGCAGTATTGTGGGAGATGTGGCCGCCAGCAGCGAACGACTGCAAAATCTGGGTGAATAGTGAGCGATGGTGAAGCGCAGAACACAACAAACTCGGGACTGCTAGATGAACTGAATTTGAATATTCAAACAAACTCCATCACTAAATGAGAAACATTCCCTCATTCTCAAAGAATATCGTTCACTGTACAAATGAGAAAAATTCTCATTCGCAAGCATTGCGAGGAACTCTTGTTGCGTTCACTAAGCCATGACAACCGCAACGGAGAAAATCTTAAGATTCTTCTTGTTATTGAAGGTCATTAAGAAAAATTAGTTTGGAAAGGTAATACACTGAATATGTGGCTCAGAATGATACAAATTGTTCTTGAGCGTTCTCAATAGATACAGCGAAAACATTGAGTTTAAGTGCACTCTATTCCGAATATACAAATGCTGTTGATAAGCCCAACATAAATTGGATGTGAAAGCCGATAAGTTTAAATAACTCCAAAGATGACGACACTGCATAAAAATATCAGCAAAATATTCACGGGATAGCAATGCTAGGATAAAACGGATTGGAGACTAGAGCAGGCTCCTTTACTGAACACACGTACAACACGCTGAACCTGCGTTGTTCAGTGTGCTCAGTCTGGTCTTTGGTCCCAATGAACATCATATCTTTTGTTCAAGTGCCTCTATTTCTACTTCGACAAAGGGCTACCAATGATGACTGCAGAGCTCTGAAATTGTGGTTGGGCATTCAAACAAATAACTCATTGCGCTCTCTCTTTCTCGCTCTCTTTCTTTCCCTCTCTCTCCCTTTCACTCTGAAAAACGTGTTATCCTTAAAGCGACACTAAATCTTCTCTCTTACCTTTGCACCTTGCAACGGTATGCACAGTCAACAACTGATTTCAGACAGTGGATCGAATCGATGTACAGGGCACAAGCTAGATGAATACCCAGTTTTATCCAAACACGCGTGAACATGATTACGTGAACACTATAGGGTAAACCACCGTGCGCGGAGATGATAGTGAACTTGCTGCCTGAGTCCAATAGAGCAAGTGCGTGCCGGTTTTACTCTTTGTTATATTCACTGTATTTCAGCTAGTATTATGCCACGCGACCTCTTAGATAACACAACAGAGATTGTTAATCTAAGGAATGTCAATTTTCGCCACTGATAAATGAGAAGCTAATTAAAGGATCATCTCGCTATGATATCACTTCGGCGTTTTGCTTGAAAGTGGTGGCTGTGAGCACAAATGTATTAAAAAAGCATTATTCTCGTTTAGGGCTTCGGACAAAAACGTTGTAGAGTTGTTCGATGAGAGGGCTGAATGTCAGACTTCCTCTTCGACATCATAAGCGTGTTGCTCGGACACGCCTCTGAGACTAGGTGTGGACATGGGACTACAAGACATGCACGCTTGCGATAACCGAATCATAACATGTTAATAATACATATAAAGAGCTTGAATATATATAACTGTCAATTCAACATAAATAATTCATATAAATATATAAAATATATGTATATAAAACTGCTTTTCTGATGTGAGGGGCACATTATACTTCCACGTGATTTCTGTGCGGTTGGTCTCTACGTGACATACTTAGTGGAGACTTCACAGAAAGCGGTGAGTGTGCAAAGCTGTGTTCAAAGTGATTGAAATCTTGGTTTGGAGTTTCTTTGTTTGGTTATGGAGGCATAAGTGTTTGAAATCTTGGTTTGGAGTTTCTTTGTTTGGTTATGGAGGCGTCTGGCCGAGTGGATTGCTATCAACTTGACCTTTCCAGGCTCTGAAGAAGGCGAAATCCGCCGAAACGTCAGCTTAATCGTGAACAAAGAATAGTAACACCTCGCGTTGGCTCAACAAAAATACGAAGAAAATAAATAATTCAGGCTAGCTCTACCTCATTTGTGCTTAATATTGCCATCCTCCTGCAACTCGCACGCAATACTGCTTTGTTGTGCTGTCAAGTTTAAGTTAATAATGGTCAATTTTATTCTTAAGTGCTATTCAATGCCAAAAGTTGGCTATTGTAGTGGAGTGGTAGTGGCGCCATTTAACACTCTGAAGACTCTGCTTCAACATGACACTAGGCAGAAATTTTGCCAGGTCTCAGGTGTCGAGAATACGTGCCAGATTTGTCTGCAAAGCTCCCTTCGATCCGCCAGATCTGGAAGGGTTCTAGCAAGTCCATCTCATGGCTCCAAGTAGAGTTGACTCGACAAGCATTCAACGACATTCATAAGGAATGTCCATAAACCTACAAGCAGCGATCGAATGCAACCGGAAATCTTAAGACTTGCTTGAGACCGTAAATGAAGGCTGAGGGAAATATATCGAATAGAAAAACTGTTGGAAGTGGCGCATTATATGATGCGTGGTCATGTTGAAGATAAATGAAATAAAAACTACTGTTATTCCTAAACTTATTTACATCATGCTCTCTCTAATTTTGTTGATATCAGAGCTTACATCTCCAGGTGGAAAAAACTTATTTTGTAAGGTACAGTAACCGAACTCTGTGTCTTAAAAATCTTACCTAAACTATAAGTTTCAGATACTTCGTATAGATCCAGCTGTTGAAAATATCTCCTTATCGGGTAAATAACAATTACCACTTTCGCAGTAGTCAAATGCGCAGTGCTAAGCTTTAATTTGGCTCGTTTGACAAGAAAATTGCCAGTTTTCGTTCAATTAGTGATGCACTGGCTGTAGGAAAAGTTTCTTTCTACTTTGTTTTTATTATCCAGCAATTAGGATCTGCTGTTCATGTTTTTTGAACAACGACCTCGAAACAGCGGGAAGGTAATACATTTAAAACATTAAGAATTGTTTGCTGACTGCGGGTTTGGCAGAACCCTTGTAGCTTTTTCAACATAGAGTTTTGGTTTCTTCTTCTGCATACTCTGGTTTTTTTATGTGTTTTGCATTAGATTGAAAAGATAACTAAACATTCCTTGTTTTCTCACACCAATATGTGCAGGTTGTGCTCGATGTAGATTTTTAGTGAAGCAGCAAAGAAGCGGAAACATTAAAAATGTTATCTGTAGGACTCGCATTAATAGCATGTGCTACTCTTACACACTTGTTTGGATAACTCGTTTTGACCAGAAGTAGGAGCTCTGCACGCTTTCCATCCATTTCTTCCTTTTCCAGTGGTTCAGCATGGTGGGACTTTGCTTTATCTATGTGCTTGTATCATACTGTGATCTGAAGACGGAACGTAATTACAAATACTTATGAATGATTTTAGTTACGTGCACATGCTTTCATCAGATAAGCGTTATGGCAGAGGGATCTTATGCGCAGACACCGGCTTTGCTTCCTAATGAAGGTCCTGTCACTTTCATGAACGGGCACATATTTTAATGCTCTTTAGACAGCTATTAATGTGTTATTGCAAAGGTATCATCCATTATTCCTACATAGAAATTTGTTTCAATAAAATGTAGAAGTCGAAGTGCTGGAAAACATCAGTGTGATTGTCGGCATTCGTAATTTTTTGTTTCACCACAGATGATGTTCGCACTAATATTCACAGTAACTTCTTAAGCCGAAGAAGGTCCACCAGTTAACATTCTGATGAAACTCTTTTCCACTTAGCATTCTCATTCTGCTTTGTCTGCATTTGTTAGAATCCCAAAAATTATTCGAAGGAAACCGGTGACTTGAAATTTTGTTATCATCTCGCTCTTTGTCTTTATCTACAATCAAGCCTTTTTGAACTAGTATGCGTCATAATTTTTTCACACGGCCTGTGTTCACGTCTACAGTGCGACTTCGAGCCCCTCTCCCATTCGATTCGTTGCCTAGCATCCATTACCCATGAAAGCTTTCCAGTTTTTCACGTGGGTTTGACTCCTAATTGACGATTATTGTTTTTTTTTAGGAATATCGCTGAATGCTGCACAAGCCGATTCTCCCTCTAGTGTTAGAATAGCCGGTCTAGAGCGCTCCCACTTGTGCTGCAGACGTCAACTTTTTCTAAACAAAACTCGCACCAGATATCTGACCTCGGAGAGATGAATGGCATCATGATCTATGAGATGGGTTGAGCCAAAACCGTGTTCGCAGTTAAGAGCATCACTGCCACTGCTCTAACTGCACCCTGCACTACGTAATATGTTAGAGAAAATTGCACGCTAATCTTTCCATGGTCGAATTCTTAATCGGTCTTGTTTCATTAGGTGTTTGCTTTCTGTTTTTCTTTCACCTTCTATTGCAGCATTTCTCCTATTTTATTGAATTGAATATATACGTAAATAAAATTGCTTAAACGATTTATTAGCACTTTACCTAAGCAATGAGAAGCTCCTAATGAAGAAAATCAAAGAAGCCATTGTAGAAATTAAATGTCATCCTTTCAAAGCCCTCTCCATATCAGCTCACCTACACTATCGTGCATTCGCCGCATATACAATACTCATGTTAAGGACCAG